GGGGCACCTGGGTGGCTTAGTCAGTTGAGCGTCTGACTTCAGCTCAGGTCATGATCCCACAGTTTGTGAGTTGGAGCCCCACGTCAGGTTCTGTGCTGACCACTTGCTCAGAGCCTGGAGCCTGCTTCAGATTCTGTGTCTCCATCTCTCTCTGCCCCTCCCCTGCTCATGCTTTGTCTCACTCTGTTTCTCAAAAATAAATAAATGTAAAAAAAATTTTTTTTAAGTTTCATGGGAAACTTTATACATATGTACATACATAAAATTTTTTGTGGAGATGAGGAATTGGAAGCCATAGGTCAAGTACAAGATAGTATGATTTTTAAAAGTAGATTTTAAAATAACTATGTAGAAATTCTGGAATTGAAAAATAGAGTTATAGAAATTACAAGTTCATCAAGTGGGTTAAACAGTGGATGCATTCAGCTGAAGAGGGAAATAGTGAACTGGAAGACAGATTTGAGATAATATGGCAGTTAAGAGAACAAACTCTGGGACGCAGGTAACTAAGTTTGAATCCTGTATCTGCTACCTACATTCTATGTGACTCTGAGCAAGCCACTCAACCGATCTGTGCTTTGGTCTTCTCATTTGTAAGATGAGATAATAAAGGGTAATGACTTCATATGGTTGTTGTGAAAGTTGACCTGGCTAGCAAATCTGATAAACTAATTGGAGAGTAAGAAGTAACAGCTGGTTTTGGTTAATATGATTATTACTTTGGGCTTTATAGTAAAAAAAAGTCATAGGTACTTTGGCAGGCTTGTAGGGAAAGCATATTTTAGAGATTTTAGATCTTGTTCAACCAGCCCACACCCGTTCTGGCCTTCCATATGTGAATGTTCACCCACACCAGCACCACACTTCTTAGCTTGATGATCAAGGTTCTCCATGGGCTTACCTCTGCTGATTCCTCTCACCTATCCCTACCCCCATACTTTAAATACTTATCTTTTTTTTAAGTTTTTTATTATTTATTTTGGGAGAGAGCCAAGGGGAGGGGCAGAGAGAGGAGAGAATTGCAAGTGGGTTCCGCGCTGTCAGCACAGAGCTCAATGCAGGGCTCAAACCCTGAACTGCGAGATCATGACCTGAGCCAAAATCAAGAGTTGAAGAGTCGGACACTCAACCAACTAAGCTACCCAGGGCCCTACTTTATACTCCACTTATTTCAACAGCCTGCTTCTAATTCCCTAAATATCTGGCTCTACTTCAGTCTCTGCACCTTTGTTCATGCAGTTTCTTCTGACTGGATTGCCTCTAACATCATTCTCCTCCT